CCCTCCCTCCCTCCCTCCGTCCCCCCCTCCCTCTCTTCCTCCCTCCCTCCCCCCATCCCTATCTCCCGCCCTTCCTCCCTCCGTCCTCCTCCCTCCGTCCTCCCTCCTCCTCCGTCCTCCTCCTCCTCCTCCTCCTCCTCCTCCTCCTCCTCCTTCTCCTCCTCATCCTCATCCTCCTCCTCCTCCTCCTCCTCCTCCTCCTCCTCCTCCCCCTCCTCCTCCTCCTCCTCCTCCTCTCAAGCTCCACTCGGGCCCAAGGTTTTCTTGGTCCCAGTGTGCCCCTGGGCTGGGCCGGCATTGCTGTGCTTGCTGGAGCGCCTCCAAGAGGCGAGCGCATGGGTCGCTCGGTCACTGGTCGCGGTGGGCTCTGTTCGCCCCGTTTGGTGGATGGGCTCCTCTTGCCGTGCATGCCGTTCCTGTACGTCCTCGTCGCCGCCGTGACCCTTTGTGTTTTGTCGGAGGTGATCGTTGTGCTCTGCTCGTCGGATGTTCGCGGCCAAAGGAGTCCATCTACCTGCGCCCAAGACATCTGCACGGTCTTCAGCCACCCGCTGAAGCTGTTCTTCAGCAAGCTCGGCGAGTTCGTGAAGTGGACATGGTCGGCGTATTTGTGTGCTGGCGTACGCTCGTCATTTTGCTCTTCCTTTTCACGGCGTTGCTGCTGCCCTTCAACTTGTACGTGCTGTTGCCGCTGAAGTTTGTTTTCAGCTATATTCTGTGGTACACTTCCAGTACATACTCCTCGTCTTGCTCCACTGTTCTCAGGGAGTACCACACAAGCCAGCGAGCATTGTGTTCGCAGTATGCAGGGCATCAGCTCGGGCGTCAGCTTTTGCAGGAGTTGTTGTTCAGTGAGTTCGGCGAGTTCGTCAGGTTGCAGGTCGGCGTGTTTAGCGTGCTGGAGTACGCGTTCGTCTTGGTACCCCTTTGGCTCTCGCCGCTTCGGCCACTCTTCAACGTGCTCGTGCTGTTGCCGTGGAGGCGATGTTCGACTTCTTTTGCGAACCACCTCCTTCTCGGCCCTCGTCTCATACGTAGGCCGCTTTCGTTGAGCCTGGCTTTTGGATGGCGTTTTTTTGGGGGGGGCGTCTTCGTTGGCACTCTTTGCTTGGTGCCTTGCAACGGTTGCGGCCATGCCTCATCGCATGTGCTTCGCTCCGTTACTTTTTGTCCTCACTGCTGTGCCGGCCAGCCGCCGTGAGCGCCCAGTGCTCCCGCGTTTCGGCCGCCACCTGCCCATAGGGTTAGGGTTTTTTCTCACCAGTAGTGTTTTCAGTTCTCGTCGGTGCTTGGCACCGTCGGGGGGCTCCTCTCATTTCTAGAATATTCGTTGGCTCGGCCTGGCTGCAGGCTGCACGTGTCGGTGCCCCTCCCCGTGGTGGTCCCTCGGGGTTCGGTGGACTTTTCGTGGTTGGCGTGTCTGGTCTTTGGCATTTCACTGCTGCGCGATCGCGCGTGCGTCCAGGCCTGGGTCCTGGTAGTGTGTACGGAACGGTGCGTGGCCACGGGGGCACTGCCCTGACTTTGGTCCTGGAGCCTAGCGTTTTGTGCGGTTGCTGCGCCTTCTTTGGAGCACGGGGTATAGGCGCAGGTCTCACCCAGCACAGCCCGTTTTACATGCCCCTCACAGGGCTCTCCCCCCCCTTCCCCCCCAGCTCTCGTAGGGCGGAGGCGTGGTGTTGCTGCGGCCTGGTGTGCAAGTACACCCTTGACCGTCGCACAGCCGCGAGGACAAGGGGCAGCTTCGTGTACAGAGGATGCTGCCCAGCCGCTCACGCCTTAGGCGTGTGGTCGGCGGTCCTCGTCAATGATTTGTGCTGCTATGCTGTTGGTTTGGGCCCTTTGTCCTGGCGTAGCTCGTTCCCCTTGATTCGAGCGTGCCTGTGAGGGGCCACTCTGCGTCGGGTCTCTGGGCCAAGTCTCGCGCTCGCGCCTTGGCACACCCGTCGCTCTTGTGCCCGCTGCCGCAGAGTTTGTTTAGCCTCTCTGCACGGCCGCACTCTTTTTCTCGTGCACTGTCTCTGGCGTGTCTGCCAGACAGTGAGCTGCTGAGCCGAGGGTCGATCCGTGCGGGGGGGGGGGCCATCGTGGGCGCTCCGAAAAGAACTCGCGAAGCCCCCTCCCCATAGCGGCTCTCGCCGAGGCGAGGTCGCCTATTTCTCAGAGCTGGCAGTTCCCGCACTGTCAGTTGCTTGCACTATGCGGTGGGCCCGTGGAGGTCAAAAAACCCTTCCTCCTTGTCCTCCTCCTCCTCCTCCTCCTCCTCCTCCTCCTCCTCCCTCCTCCTCCTCCTCCTCCTCCTCCTCCTCCTCCTCCTCCTCCTCCTCCTCCTCGTCCTCGTCATCATCATCCTCCTCGTCCTCCTCCTCCTCCCTCCTTCCTCCTCCTCCTCCTCCGTCTCCTCCTCTTCCTCCTCCTCCTCCTCCTCCTGCTCCTCCTCCTCCTTCTCCTCGTCCTCCTTCGCCTCCTTCTCCTCCTCCTCCCCCGCCTCCCCTCCACCTCCTCCTCCTCCTCCCCCTCCTCGTCATCCTCCTCCTTTTCCTCCTCCTCCTCCTCCTCCTCCTCTCTCCTCTTCCTCCTCCTCCTCCTCCTCCTCCTCCTCCTCCTCCTTCTCCCACTCCTCCTCCTACTCCTTCTCCTCGGGGGGGGCCATAATCAGGCACGCAGGCAGATGGTGCCCCATCGCGTGCAACCACCGGCAGGCTGCGCAGCACAGGTTCCAGACGCACGGTGACGGGCACTCACTAACGGTTGTTTTCAGGAGATATGCAGAAATTTGCATTTGGGGGAGCCTCTTGCTGGCATTGCAGCGTTGCCCACAGGTCGGCGCCGCACAGAAGGGGGGCAGGGGGAGGGGGGAAGGCTTCTTAGAAGCACCTCTTGTTCTTAGAAGGCGCGGGCCTTGCTTGTAGATGTAAGGCCAGGTTTTTTTTTTATGAAGCAGCCTCCTGCTAAAACGCCTTCCCCCCTCCCTCATACCCCCCTTTGCGCGCCGCCACATAGGGAGGGTTGGGTTCGCTGGGCTACTGGCCAAAAGTACCCGTTAGTGGAGACCCCGTTAGAGGGGCGCTGAAGGTCACTCTTGCCCAGGGCCACTCATTGCGCGCAGCCGATGTCCAGCGCTGGCCCGAGAAAGCCGCGCGGACCTGCAGAAGCCTCTGCGTGTGCCTTTCTTTTATGGCATTGGCAGAAATCCAGACAAGTCGCCTACAGTCAGCCCGCATAGTAAGGACGGGCAACCTTCCCAGGGGTACCCTTGCATCCTTGCCTCCTCGGCCCATCCTTGTCCAATTTCGCTGGCCGCGCCCCGCTCGAAGAGCTTCGACATGGCCTTCCAAGCAAGGCCCTTGCATCCTTATCGTGCATTCGTATGATGCGGGTCGACTGAGGATTTGCACGGGTTCATTCGACATGGCAGTCGATTGTGCTGGTGCAGTCCCCAGTCGGTTTCGCTAATCGACGTGCGCTTCGCAGGGCACATTGTTTGTTTCGGGACGTCGCTTTGCTATCCCGCCCGGGTCCACTCGGAATGCGGTACCGCTTGCGCGTGGAGTGCCCCTGGAAGCTTGCGCCAGCGGGCGTGTTGTGAAAGGGTGTGTTGTCAATCCTCCACTTGCTGTCCTCCCAGAAGGGGCGCGTTGGTCTATCGTACTGCGCCGACACGCCGCGGAGGTCGAGATCCCCGCCCGCTCGCAGGGACTGCAGGGCCCCGCTCGCCGGCCACGGCTCCCGGGCGGACCACGCGGGCACGGGCGCCTCGTGGGGCGCCAGTCGCGCATCTCCGAAGGAGAAAAGGCGGCGTGAGCAGGAGCTGTCGCAGGGCCACGCGGATCTCTGCCATCGAGAAGAGCAGAACCCCTAACCCTAATAGCACGATGAAGACATGGCCTCATTCAGGCCCCCGTCTCCACATGAGGGATGATAAATGTGGGCGTCGTGGCGTGATACATTCAGGCTCTGTCCCAAAGGGTCAGGGGTCCTCTTAGTGCCAATCACTGTTGGGTCGGCGCTGGACCCAAGAAGTCCGCGCGGGCCTTCGAAAGTCAGGAGGGGAAAACAAAAAAACTGACACAATGAATCGTCTATTCCCGGGCACAGATGGGAAACTATTGGAAGTGGGAGGGAAAAGACGAGACTCCAGAGCATAGGAGAAGATATAGGGGAATCCTGGGATTTGTGGAAGAGGAGGAGGAGAAGGAGGAGGAGGAGGAGGAGGGGGAGGGGAAGGAGAAGAGGAGGAGGAGGACGACGACGAGGAGCAGGAGAATCTTCTGCTCGCGCCGCTGTTTCTGCGCTTCTGGGCATCGATGGACCTTGCGGACCTGCGGGAGGCACTGGCCCGGGAGCGGGCGCGCGCCGACCGGAGCGAGGCGAAGGCCGAGGCCGCCGAGCGGGCCCTGACGGAGAAGGCCGAGGCCCCGCCACGCGCAGAGGGCGGCAGGGGGAGGGGAGCTCCCTCCGCCGCCCTATCTCGAGCAATCGCAAACATGGATTAAGGGGGCGTGGATTAGCGACGGGTCCCGTTTCCACTGGAAATCGCGGGTTTCAGCCGCCGAACGAGGCGGCACCGGCCGCATGTTTGGGAGGGCACCTCCCTCGATCCATGGATCTGACGACCGCGAGCCTAATCCATGGATCGCTAATCCATGTTTGCGCGCCCCCGACTACCTCAGCCCATTCCGGCACACACACACCCCTCACACGTTTCGTGGCCCCATAGGGAGCTCCGCCGCAGCCCCCAGGAAGAGGGTGTCGAGTGCGGTTATCCACCTATTCCGGCACACCCCTGACACGCTTCATGGCCCCACAGGGAGCCCTACCGAAGGCCGCAGCGGCAAGCGGCTGGGCCAGCATGCGTCTCCGGGCCGATTTCGGCACACCACTCCCGAGTTGCCTTGTCTGTAGATGTAAGGCCGGCGCCCTCTAAAAAGCAGCCTCCTTCTAAAAATCTTTCGCCCCTCCCCCACACCCCTTGTGCGCGCCGCCAAGAGGCGGTCGAGCAGAGCCTGAGGGACAAGATCGATGCCATCGGGAAGGCCCAAAGCGCGAAGGAGCTCAGAGGAAGAAGATGCATCCATACCTCTACCCTGCCCTCGTTGTCCCCCTTTTGGGGCTCCTGGGAGGCCCTCGTCGCTACCGCTAGATTCGCCTCGAAATCCTGGTCGGAACGCACCCCGGGAGAGGTCCGGGGAAGTAACGGTATCGGTACCTTGCTGTGGTTTTCCCAGGATCCAGGGCGGAACTCGAAGAAGGGAAAGCCAGATCTGTCGTAGGTCGGTGCGGGTTTCCTGGATCGGCGCTGGGCTCCCCTCCCTGGCGCGCGGCGCCCGCCCAGGGGCGGTGCCAGAGGCGCCGCCAGATGGGTCCGGCGCCGATCGAAGAAAGTCTCGCGGCCCTCCGAAGGGTGGTGTTCTGTCATCCGTTGTTTCCCTCGAGGAACGAAGCGCCCTGTCTCCAACGGCTGGCGGCTGGCGTGAAGCTCAAGACAGGTGCAACCGGTGCACTTCTGGATCAGAGACCCGTAGACGTCGCTGACCCGATGTATGCAGCCCTGCGGAGGCCCGCAGGGGGGCGGTCAGTAGCGCACCTGTGAATGTATAAGCCGTCCTGCTGCTGGGGGATTTCTCCCCAAGGTGCGCCTGCCACAGGGCCTCGCTCGCAGGGGTGCTTCTTGTGAGGGTGGCTCTTCCGCCCTCGAGGAAGAAAGGAAGGCAGCGCATGTGTCACATGCGGGCTGGCATTACGTTCGGGGCACGCATCTAGAAGCCATACGCTTTTCGTCAGGGTATCCCAGGTTTCTTCGCTCCTCGCGCTGCGCGGTGACTTCCCGCAAGGAGCTGCTGCGCTCAGGGTGCTCCGGGTTTCCCCCCGGGTGCACCTCGCGCACGGGTTCTCAGGGTTGGGTTTCTTGCGAGGGTTTCTTGCGGCCGCGCCCGCTCTGTAAGTTGCCGGTGTGCCTAACTCAAGCTTGCACACGCTCTTCCGCCCTCGTCTGTGCGCTGGTATGAGTTTGCAGTGTGCGTCCCTCGAGACCGTGGGTCCCCTTCCCCCCTCGAGGAGGCCGCCGAGATCCGCGCGAAGGAGGCCGAGATCAGGGCGGAGTGCGCGCAAGGGCAGCTGCTGCAGCAGGCGCAGCAGGTGCCGGCTATGGTGCAGGAGATCGCAGCTTGCATGCTGCGCGGCGCGGGCTCGAGGTTGCGCATGGGCGCTCGGGGCACCCGGTTCAACCCCGAGTTGGTGGCAGTGAAGATCGAGGCAGACGACGACAGCGGCCGTGCGATCATTCGGCCACGCGCGAGAGTGGCTCCAATGCCCAAGTCATTTCTGCGGGGGAAGCGCAAGGTTCGAGTCTGTCAGGACCCGAGTTTGCCAGCGCGTTTGGACGGCCCCGACATGATTTTTCAGGGTCCAGTTTTCGTGAGATGTCTGCAGGGGGTGGCGCGCGTCGTATTTCCGACTCGGTCATGTCCTTTGTCCGACGGCCTCGTGAGCTCAGTTGGAGTGCCCAGAGCTCGAGTCTCACTTAATCACAGATTTTTTGCGCGTGCGCGGCCCTGAGGGGTCCCCCCGGCAATGGTCTGAAGCGGCTTGCGCGCTTGGATTTGCCCCCCCCCCGCTTCCGGGCCCCCCCGAAGCAGCCCACCAAAGGCCACTCCCGCTTGGGGTCACTCTTGCGCGTGGCCGGCTCGTGGACTCGCGCAGCGGGCCTGCAGCCGTGGCCCTCGGGGGCGCCGAGCAGGGGGCAGACGGGTCCGAGGGCGCGGCAGTCACGGACGCTGCACTTCAGGAGCTCATGA